GTTGGGCAACCTAACCCGAGTATTGTATCAAGTTCACCAAAATCCCCATTAGAGACGCAGAGAAATTTCCTAGAGGATCAACCATCTTGCTCTATGGAAACAGCAGTTTCTGTACCGGAAACAGAAACACTGCCTCAAAGTGAGACAACAGCAACAATCAGACCTCAGCACAAATCAGGACTTCCTAAAGCAAGAAGTCACGTGGAGTTTCTTCCAAAGTATCCAGAGGAGGATGGTGAGATCTGGCATAAAGCTTATATCCATAGCCGTGCGGGAAAATCAACTGGCAGTTACAAAAACTGTGTAAATATTCAACTTGATGGTGAGGAGAGCATCCAATGTGTGGATTGGTATGAGCTTGCTGTGAATTGGAGAGATGACCTGTCACCAGAAACAGAAGAAGAGGTGTTGCTGTCCAGTGTGAGTATGTATGACCAAGCAGTTGTAGATGCCAAGCTAGCAGAGCTTGAGAAGTTCAAAGTAAACAAGGTTTACGTGGAAGTTGATGCAAACGAACAGTCCAATGTTGGTGTTCGTTGGGTAATTACAAAGAAAGCAGAAGGTTCTGTTAAAGCTCGTTTAGTGGCACTTGGTTATCAAGAAAATAGTAGCAACATACGAAAGGACTCCCCAACATGTAACAGGGACTCTATAAGACTGCTCCTTACAATAGTTGCAACAGAAAGTTGGAAGTTACAACACATCGATGTTCAGGCTGCCTTCTTGCAAGGCAAGAAGATTTCAAGAGATGTCTTCATTATTCCTCCGAAGGAAGCTGAAACGAGGAAAATCTGGAAACTGAACAAATGTATTTACGGGTTAGTAGACGGACCTAGAATGTGGTATGTTGAGCTTCGTGATACTCTAGTGAAGTTAAATGTTGTGGTATCGTCATATGATGAGTCATTCATGTTCTGGTATGATGAAGGAAAACTCGAGGGTATCATTGCTGTGCATGTTGACGATCTGATGTTCAGTGGAAGCAAGAAGTTTGAAAGGGAAGTTATTGGGGAACTGAAGAAGAAGTTTCGTCTAAGTACGGAGGTCGAAGTTGAATTTGCTTATACTGGTCTTGATGTAAAGCAAACACAATCTGGAATTCTGGTATCACAACTGGGGTATGCAGACCAGATTTCAAGAATAGAGATCGACCCCACCCGAGTGAATCGAAATACGCTCCCAATCAACGAGAAAGAAAAGCAACAACTGAGAACTGTGTGCGGACAGTTGTTGTGGGTATCAACACAGACACGGCCAGATGTAGCTTATGCTACATGTTTTGCTAGTAATTCTGTGACTGAAGGGACCATCGCAGATTTGAAAATGGTAAACAAAACAGTAAAGTTCTTAGAAAAGAATCCTCTGACACTCAGGTTTAAGAAACTACTGTTGCCTGAGTCAGTCTTAGTGGTTTTCTGTGATGCATCGTATGGAAACTTGAAGGATGGTAGCTCTCAGGGAGGCTTCATAATTTTCATTGTTTCGCTTACAGGAAAATCTTGCCCCATTACATGGCAGAGTAGAAAAATCCGGAGAGTATGTAAAAGTACTTTAGCAGCGGAGAGTTGGGCAATGATCGAAGCAGTGGAAACATGTGAGTTGATCCAAGCTCAGCTGAGTGAGATCATGTTATCTGGAAAACTTGATGTCATTGTAATGACTGATTGCAAGTCTCTACATGATGCTATCCAAACCTCGAAAAATGTTGATGACAAGGGATTGAGGATACCAATAGCTTGCCTGAGACAGCGAGTGAACAATAGTGAAATGACAGTTCGTTGGATTTCAACAAAGAAACAGCTTGCAGATTGTTTGACTAAAGCTGGAGCTCCAACTTCACTGCTACGGGAGGTATTGTCGTCAGGAGAATTTGACAATGAACTGTTTAGAATTGTATTCCAATAATAAACATTGTATTCAAAGTTTTTAATATTGTGTGTGAAGGATTTTAATAATCTTAATAATTTGAAACTTAAAGAAATTAAAAGAGTGAATATATTGGTATTTGTGATTTATATAATGTGCTCGTTTAAAAGAGTGAATATATTGGTATTTGTGATTTATATAATGTGCTCGTTTAAAACGATTTTCTATTACATGTTGTGCATGTATCCACAAAGAGGGAAGTTATATTTAGAAAGATTATAGTCTTTCTTGTGACACCTTTATTTTATATTTAATATTTTAAATCTTTCAAAGCCTTTTTAAGAAAGAACGGGAGATTGTGAACTGCTATATTTTTGGTTTATATATTTATGATAGTCGATATAATATATACTAATTGTGTTCTATTTCAGAATGTACCACAAACATGTTGTCTGTGGGGTTTGATAATTACTTGTAACAACTGGTGTGTTTCATTGCATAGTGATCCATTTAAAGTTAACATCTACCTCTTCTAACACTGCAGTTAGTGCATAGAGGTGTTCTTCGAATGTTTCTGAAAATATGAAAACATTATCACTAAATGCTCCAACTCCATCAATATCTCTCTCTTTAAGATCATTGATCATTTTATCCATATTCCTTTGGAAAGTTGCTTGGCTATTTTTAAGTCCAAAAGGCATACGATTGAATTCATATTTACCATTAGGCACGCTGAATGAAGTTTTCTTTTTATCATCTTCATGTACCTCCAGTAACCTGAAGCGAGGTCTAGTTGGGTAAAGTAGTTACAGTTCAAACAAGCATCAATCATATCATTCACGTCAGGCAGGGGATAAGAATCTTGGATCGTATTCTTATTCAAATTACGGAAATCTATGACAAATCGTTTAGTATTGTCCTGTTTAGTGACGAGAAGAGGGTTACTATTGTATGGAGATTTAGAAGGGCGGATAATTCCATTATTTAACATCTCAATCACTTGTTGATTAACTTCATTTTTCCATTTGTCAGGAATTCTACGTACCTTGTCTTTACTAACACGGTCGTCTCTACTAAAGATACGATGAAGTTCAGTGGTGCACAACTTTGGAGCTTTGCTGTTTTTGACAAAAACTTGGCAAAAATCTTCTAACAACAATTTGATGCTTTCTTTCTGATTTTCAGCCAGGTCTTGACCAATCTTACATCTGTTGATGATACTGGTGATATCTTTGGTATGATCTTCGGAGACCATGAAAACCCAGTCTTCTCCAATTCTCACTCTCTGATTTGTCCAGTCAAATTCAGTGGTTCCAAAATGTTGCAAAAAGTCTCTGCCCAAAATCAACAAATTCTCCCTGTCAGGAATTGGCAGAGGTTTGACCAGATGCTTTGTCTCCCAAGTTGAACTGATAAGAATCCTGCATTCAACTGGTTCTCCAGCATATTCAACACCTCCAATCCCATAAACCTTATGGGACTTGGTGGATACTAATTCAGGAAACAGTTCCTTACTCATCACTGATATCCCTGCTCCGCTGTCAAATAGTATGTCCACGTCCTTCTCAACATTGTTCACTGAGATGATGCCATATAGTCATAAATTGTTCTTCTTTGGCAACTTGAAGTAGTTGGGGCTACTAGAACTTCTGGAACTTGAGCTATTCGACCTTCTCAAGCTGGGGCTGGGGCTATTATATCCTCTGGAGCTGGAGCTAGAGCTATTGGAGCTATTGTTTTCGGTCAATTTAACATAGCATTTTTTCTCATGATTTCCTTCTTTGCCACAACGAACACATTTTCTTTTGCTGCATCGGTTGGCATAGTGACCGTTTTCTAGGCATATCCAACATTTTCTGTCTTTGCCATTATATCCATCAGCTTGTGAGTTGGGTTTGTTGTACATAACAATCTGTTTGTCCTCACCATCATTGTTTTGGTCGTCCTCTTCTTGAAACATTCCCAGCATCCCTTGAACATTGTGCAAACCCTCTCTCAGTTCTTCTGCCCATCTTGGCATTTCATCTGCAACAAATACATCAAAATCTTCTTTCTCTTTCTTGATGATTTGAGGTGTACTTGTGCTTTTCTTTAGGGTAGTCAATTTATCTTTCGCAATCTTGAAAATGTCCACCACTGCTGCTGCATCCATGTCCGCTTTGAATTTGTCAGCATTGTCATCATAGATTTGCTCTCCATCTGGTATGACTTTCAGGTACTTCAGCAGTAGCATGTCAGGTGTTATTTTGGCTATATCTGCTTCGCTTTGCAGTAAGAAGAAATAACTGACTATGTCTGTATATGATCTTGATGCCGGCTTCAGGTCCCAAAACTCATTCACACTTGACACTCTTCCCACTGTCCCATCTATCAATTCTTCTAAAAGACTAAGTGCTTTTTCTAGGGTATCTTCTTTGATCGCAGTTTCGGCTAAGAGAACATAGCTGCTGAATACATGAGCTGGTATCATGCTCTTCTTCTGAGCCTCAGTCAGCGTCGCTGTAGCAGCCAGGTATCTCCTCCTCCATTCTCTCACCGACTGTCCCACTGTTAGGTGTGGTATTGGAGTTTGTGCCATCTTTATAACGAGAGGATGTTAATGTCAGTTGGTTACAATGGTCTTTTACAAATGATACACACTGATTCCAGATACAGATATCATCCTGTATAAGTTAATTGTTAGAATGTATTATCAATGATATCATTAGATTACTCAATCACAATATTATCAAATATATCATTAGATCAATCAATCACAATATGTCCTTGACAGATGTATGTGAGACTTAGAGTAATATGATATTCAAGTGAAAGTTAATCTCCCTCAACCCGGCTGAACCCATGTGTAATATACATAAAAAGCATTTTTAAGTGAGTCAACTTTAACTTCAAATTAACAGCAGTTCAGTTATTGATGTTATTTTTAGAAATATTCGATTAATTAACAATTAATTATCCTTGCAAAGATGTCTGAGACAGATATATTTTAACCACTAAAAAACCAATTTGTTATATTAAATTAGAGGGGCATGTGAATTTATGATCATGATATTATCGTGAGAGATGCTGTACGAGAGTCAGTGCACTATTGAAGTTGTATAAATGTGGTAACTATCTAAGCCTAGCTGTACATATTTTCAGATAGGATCATGTTCTGAACGAGTTTAATTCTCATGTAGACACTGTATGGATGAACTAGAGATAAATGATTATTTACGCCGAGCGCTGGAGAGTGCTGGTGGACAGTTTTCTGAGCTATCAGTTTCGTACAATGACCAAGAGGAAGAAGTTGATGATGGGACAGCTTTTTTAACAGATCGGCCTCTTACGCCCAAAGCTGAGGTCAATGAGGCAGAACAGTTTCATGCTAACACTGATAACTCAGATAACAGACTGAAGCAGATTAAGACCCAGAAAGCAGCTAGACTTGTTGCGGAAGCCTGTGAAATAATGAAACTCAACCAATTTCTAGAAGCAAATGCCAAATTGAGTAGAGCCATACAAATGAAAAGTGATAATGCCAATTATTACATGCTCAGAGGGGAATGCTGTTTGCAGCTATGTGACTTCAAAGAGTCTATTATAAACTATAATCATGCAATCTATCTTTCACCAGATAGTTCAGATGAGTGGGAAGAGAGACTGGCTTACATTCACTACCTCTACAGTCAGATCCTGTATGATGAACATGACTATGAGGGTACTTTAGTTCAAATCAACTTTGCTTTGCACTACAGCCCAAACAAGTTTTCATATCAATGCCGGAAAATAGCTTATCTTTATGCCTTGAAACAGCACAAAGCATGTTTGGAACTTGTGGAAGAATTACTTAAAGATAACGAGAAAGCTGAGCTTTATGTTTTAAGAGCCAGACTCAACAAGTTATTTGGTCATATCACAAAGTGTTTCTATGATGTCCATAAAGCGCTAGAGTTAGACCCTGATAACCTCCAAGCTTCCAATATTGTGGAAGAGTTGAATAAATCTGCTGAGGACTGCAGGTCAGTTGCAGTTAATCAAGCTCTAAGTGGAAATCTAGCGGAGGCAATTAATAAAATAACTGTGTCTATTGATACAAACCCTACTATCGCAGAGTACACTGTTTTTAGGGGAACACTTCTTCGGCAGCAAGGGCAGTATGATGAGGCTATTGATGATTTCATGAAGGCTCTTACCAAAGTGGGGGAGGATAGTAAGACACATATTGACGCATTGAGGCAACTTGTGTTAACATATAATGACTTTGCTGTGGAATGTTATTCCAAGAGTTACTTTGAAGAGGCAATCTCTCTCTTAGATCAAGCCATAAAACGTGAGAGAAACGAGAAAGGATTTTACATGAACAGAGGCGACAGTTTCAGAATGATCGGTTACCTCAGCTTTGCTCTGGCAGACTACCAACAAGCACTTGAACTGGATCCCCATGATTGGGTAATCATTTCCCGGATAAGTTTGGTTCACCACCAGTATGGTATCAAGAATACACCAACAAGCATTATGCTGATGCAGAGAAGTGCTTCACCACAGCCATCACATGTAACGCCAAGATCGCTCAGTATTACATTTCAAGGGCGTGGTCCCGGTTCATGCAGAAGCACTTGCCAGCAAGCCGCGCTGATCTCCTGCGTGCAATGTACCTGGATAGTTCTATTGAGGAGGGTGTCATGCTTGCTGCAAGACTTTATCCTAACCAGAACATAGACTCTATTCTCAATGCAAAGAGCAGTCAAAAGATATTGAATCAGATGAAAGAGCTTGTAGCAGGGGAGTCCTCAACACACGATCAAGTGGTGTTATCTTCCAATACTCTAGCACATGAGCCTCTTGCTGATGAGAACATAGCGCAGTACAAAACCTGGATGGACAGATATAAAACTAAAAATAATGATGTCAAAGTTCTTCTTGAGAGCCGACCTACGCTCAATCAGAAAATTCCGAAGATTATCTCCCATCAGAAGGTGAATCAGCAGGAAAATACAACTTGTGGATGGATGAAGAAATATTTTGATAGCAAAGCTAGCCCAGTTAGTTGAGACTGTGTACAGTCGAAACCTTGTTATAATTCTCTTTGTCAGATTACATTCGAATTTACCTGATCGTTGATTAGAAAGGTGTTAGTGTGGATGCTGTCAATTGTCCCTCTGTTTGAACTAAAATTTTAAGATAGAGATATAAATGCCAGAAGAACGATGTGATAGATATCTTAATCAATTTGATCCAAAGAAATAATTAATTTGTGCATTATAACTGATGCTATTGATAAATTTTCAATCATACATTTTTTAGAAACTGATTTTATACCATTTATCGACTAGTTTTTGAGTTATCTTCCAGCATTTTCTGCAAGAGTATCAACTTTAATTTTTAACGTCGGAGACAAATCTTAATAACTTCAATTCTGTAAACTATTATATATTTTTATACTATCTAACATTGTACAACAAAGGAAGAAGTCATCATGGCAGAAGGAGAGGCTGTAAAGGTTGCAGTGAGAGTAAGGCCATTTAATGGACGGGAGATCAATATGAATGCTAAAGTGTGCATGAGAATGGAAGGTATTATATCTTTGATTGATAATATTTTATTCTAGAAACTAGTGTTAGTTGACCCATTATACTGTTAAAACATATTATACGTGAGACTAAATGTTTTAAAAAGTTAAAAACAATCGCTCAATTATTAGTTTAGTCAATCAGAATTTCAGCAGTTTTTAAGTTTTAACCTTGTCCGTGAGCCCAGTTGGGACAATTTGATTACACTATCTCGTGACTCTTACACACATTTTATCAGTCCGCTCTAGGTTTATCTTCCCTTATCTTTCCTTTTAACGGGGCTGTAGATATTTGAACATTTTTTAGTATTCATCACCGGCCTCAGGCCTTGTCTTTCCCGCCGTCCTAGAGTAAGGCAGTGCTGGTCACGTGACCTCGGACACGCTACACGTGGTCCCATGTGACCGGTAGCGCAGTAAGCGGGCAGCGGGGAAGTCTTGGACGCGGGCCGCGGCAATTGTGTTTCGGCAAGTTTTATTTTGGAGGAGATGTGGTTTGGAAGAGCAGAGTTTCGGGTGATTTTAAGGACTGCGAGTTTTGTTCAACTACCCTAAGTTCAGTTATACTTAGTTACTTAAGTCGTTTACTTCTGTTCACCCTGCTCCTTGTAGAAACTCCCGCTATAAAAGTGTTGCTATCAGTTGATTTAGCATATAATAGCTAGTCAACCGCTTACCTCAGGGCCGTTAGAACTTAGCCTAAAGTTAGTTGTGTGGTAAACCTATCTGTTTTCCTAGCTGCCGCGCTACTAGGCACGCTAAATCCAAGGCCATTTGAACCTAACCTATAGCTACTTGAGCTCCCTGATTTGTCTTCACGTTTCTAGCCGCTCTCCCCTTTGAACTCTCTACTCCTCGGCTGATAGGATAGATTAAATCGTCCCGGAACCCGGAGGCCCCTTTTAGTTGATCGGAGATCATCCCACGTTACTACATCCCTACTTTACTACACAATCATTACTAGCATCAAAAATTTGTAACTTGATTTTTAGATTTACGACCAGCAATATATATATTTACTTTAGATTATGTAACGTGTAATAACTTGCTCCCTGCAGGCGCTAAATCGTCCCGGAGCCCGGGCCCCGGAGGCCCCTTTTAGTTGATCGGAGATCATCCCACGTTACTACATCCCTACTTTACTACACAATCATTAAACTTACTAGCATCAAAAATGTTTTAACTTGATTTTTAGATTTACGGGGAAGTTGGTCGTTTAGCTCCGGACAGTCTATGCAACGTCTATGCAACGTCCGTGCAACAACAAAAGAACCGTCTATGCAACGTCTATGCAACGTCCCTGCACAATGAACACTCTATGCACACTCCCTGCACGGTCAGTCTATGCAACGTCTATGCAACGTCTATGCAACGTCCCTGCACAGTACCATATGAACACCGGCTACTAGCCGGCTACTAGCCGGCTAGTAGCCACTTTTGTAATAACAGCTCCTCAACTTCACATTAACAACCGGCTACTAACCGGCACTTGAAAAGTGGTCACTAGCCGGCTACTAACCGGCTACTAGCCGGCTAGTGACCACAAAGTGGCTACTAACCGGCTACTAAGCGGTCACTAGCCGGCTATTAGCCGAGCTCTAAAGCAGACCTATTAGTAGCCGGTTCTAAACCGGCTACTAGCCGGCACTTGAAAAGCGGTGACCGGTTAGTAGCCGGTTAGTAGCCACTTGGTGGTTACTAGCCGGTTAGTAGCCGGTTAGTAGCCGGCTAGTGACCGCTTTCTAAGTGCCGGCTAGTAGCCGGTTTGGAACCGGCTACTAGTAGGTCTGCTTTAGAGCTCGGCTAATAGCCGGCTAGTGACCGCTTAGTAGCCGGTTAGTAGCCACTTTGTGGTCACTAGCCGGCTAGTAGCCGGTTAGTAGCCGGCTAGTGACCACTTTTCAAGTGCCGGTTAGTAGCCGGTTGGTAATGTGAAGTTGAGGAGCTGTTATTACAAAAGTGGCTACTAGCCGGCTAGTAGCCGGCTAGTAGCCGGCTAGTAGCCGGTGTTCATATGGTACTGTGCAGGGACGTTGCATAGACGTTGCATAGACGTTGCATAGACGTTGCATAGACGTTGCATAGACGTTGCATAGACTGACCGTGCAGGGAGTGTGCATAGAGTGTTCATTGTGCAGGGACGTTGCATAGACGTTGCATAGACGGTTCTTTTGTTGTTGCATGGACGTTGCATAGACGTTGCATAGACTGTCCGGAGCTAAACGACCAAGTTGCCGATTTACGACCAGCTATACATATATATTTACTTTAGATTGTGTAACGTGTAATAACTTGCTCCCTGCAGGCGCTAAATCGTCCCGGAGCCCGGGCCCCGGAGGCCCCTTTTAGTTGATCGGAGATCATCCCACGTTACTACATCCCTACTTTACTACACAATCATTAAACTTACTAGCATCAAAAATGTTTTAACTTGATTTTTAGATTTACGACCAGCTATACATATATATTTACTTTAGATTGTGTAACGTGTAATAACTTGCTCCCTGCAGGCGCTAAATCGTCCCGGAGCCCGGGCCCCGGAGGCCCCTTTTAGTTGATCGGAGATCATCCCACGTTACTACATCCCTACTTTACTACACAATCATTAAACTTACTAGCATCAAAAATGTTTTAACTTGATTTTTAGATTTACGACCAGCTATATATATATATATATTTACTTTAGATTGTGTAACGTGTAACAACTTGCTCCCTGCAGGCGCTACAACATACATCAGCGATCTGGATGGAGGTGACGAGGAGAAGTTCTTCACTTTTGACTACAGTTACTGGAGTTACGATGGCTTTGAAGATATTGATGGATATCTGACTCCTTCCAATGATCAATATGCTGATCAGGTCAGTTCTATCGAGGGGATGTTTTACTTTTAGTGGTTATGTTGTTTTCACCTAATGGAGCATTATACTGTCCATCTAATTTAGAATCCATGGCATCCTTAGCGGGCTTAGCTTAGAATAATTGAGTTTTAAGTATACTAGGCTGGGCTTATTAAAAAAAGCGAAATATAAAATCGATAAAACTGTACAGTACAGTGACCCCACAGTGACGTGTCAAAACCTTTGCTCTCTTTGTAAGAAGAAACGGATAGTTTAGTTAAATTTCTTAATATTCAGAAAAAAGTGTTCGACGACGTAGGAGTTGGTATCCGAGATAACAGCTGGAATGGTTTCAACTGCTCACTTTTTGCTTACGGACAGACTGGTTCCGGAAAATCTTACTCCATTATAGGTACTTCTTGTTGAATATGAGCCATCAACTAACAATTTGTTTGATTAGTACAACATGTATTTTAAAATATTTCTCGATATAAATAATACTTGTTAAATGATTTTTAAGTAAAGTAAAAAACAACCTCAGGTTACGGTCCGAACAAGGGAGTTGTACCTCTGTACTGCGAGGATCTGTTTATAAAGATGGCAGAACTCCAGAAAGTTAACCCTGATAACGAATACCAGGTTACCACTTTCACATTAACACTAGTTAAAATATCGATTATATAATTGTTATTGTCTGTACGGTAACAGCCAAAAGTGTCACCGTACTTGAAGTAGACCGCCCGACTGGATGTTCCAGACTAATGATGAGTTACTACATGCTGTCGTGTTACCCGGAATTGGAGATATATCAGGGACTTAGTCAGGATCCTCTCAAAGATTTAGATTTTTTTAGATTTGAAAAATTTTCAAAACGGTATATACAAATCAACAGGATTATAAAACGGAGATATAAAAACCGCTTTGTCGGCAAATGCCAGGGCCCTAAAAATCCACTCAAAAAACCTCGAAACAGGACCCAGAAGCTTGTAAGCCACTGGTCAAAAAAAGATGTGAAATCTAATTAAATAAAGATTTTGTTCAAAAATCAAATAAAATCAAAATTACGCGACCAAAATTCAAAAACTCTCATAAATGTGAAAATTGTAGTATCAATCAATATCCATGATCAGAATAAATGAGGAAAAACGCGAAAATCACATACATTACTGTATTACAACAGATGTCAAAAATTGTTATTAACAGAGATCCAAAGTGTCCATAATAAAATAATATAGTTCAACTAGCTACCCAATCAAAAGGTAGTCAAGACAGGGTAACTAGAGTAGTAGCTTAGTAGTAATAGCAGAGTAGGGATAAATTTGCTATCAGTGAGAAAGATGAGGGAATAGCTGCAGATGAGTTCTCATAGAGGGTTTGGACAGCTGATGGAGAGCTTATTAAGAGTGGAGGGACCACAGTATAATTGTTATCGTAATAGTCACATAATATCGATGATATAGAATATTTGCTACGTTCGTTGTAACACAGTATTGTCTGCAAACCGCCAACACGTGTCAAAGCAAAACGCAATACGCAAGCAAGCTGTAAAGAATATGCTTGGAAGGGAGTTAAATACAGTTAAAGCATTAAAACACTGTACTACTAATAATGATCTCAATTCTCATCATCCATATTTTCAGGTTGCTTTCTCGATGTTAGAAATCTACAATGAGAGTGTGTTTGACTTGTTAGCCGGGAAGCAGAGAAAAGCATTGAAGATAAGACAGAGCAAGCAGAGGGGTTTCTTTGGTAAGTTTTAAGTAAAATGACGGAATCCTGCTTGCCGCTATCGTGCAATAGTAAAAGCAGAAGCAGCGCCACCTGCGTTATAAAATAAAATTCTATTTTCTTCAGTACTTGCGCGCATTCAACTGTTTTGTAACGCGCGACAACACAAATGTATTGAAATTGAAAGCTTCAATATAAACGTTGTCATGGAAACAAACTAATTTTGAACATTCGCATGGCCTGTTGGTGAGCAGGTTACTGGTTATGTAAGCCTCCCTACACCAGCTCTTTAGCGATCTAAATTTACACCACATATCCATGGTTCCTTTGTATATACAGAGGTAGTTCCATTGGGCTTGCTTAAAATATGACTGAGTTGTTTCTCACCCTTGCTAAACACAACCCTTACTTTATTCAAATTTCAGTTCAGGGTCTAAAGAAAACACCCGTTGGTAGTTACATAGAAATTGAAGAAAGAATGGCTGAGGGCACAGCTAACAGAACAGTTGCTTCTACGAAAATGAACGCAACGAGCAGGTCAAGTCAATAACAGTATAAAACATTGACTTCTTGAGGGATGATGAACTAAGTTCAAACTTTCGGTAAAATATGCAGTATAATCCATCTCCGATGATAATTTCAATTCTTGCTTAGATTAACATTTAATAATTACACAGTCGTGCTCATACCGTGGTGGAACTAACTCTTATACAGAAGATAAAACAAGATGGTGCTAACATGACCAAAACCTCTGTTGTCAACCTTGTTGATTTGGCTGGCAGGTAAGGGAATTTTATACTTTAGCATGAAATTTAATAAGTACTTGTACTTTGCAATGATTTAAACCTTCATCTAACTCATCTAAGATTTAAAATGTTTCAAGAAGTACCTAAACATTCATTTCAGCGAGAGAGCAGGAAGTACGGGAGCAACTGGAGCTACTCTAAAGCAAGGAGCAGCCATCAACAAATCTCTATCTGCTCTTGGAAATGTTATTGCAGCTCTAGCTAAAGAGTCAGAAGGGGGAAGAACGAAAGTTGTCAGTAAGTTTCATCTTTATTTGATAATTCGGAACAGTGGTTATCTCTTTCATGCTGCTAGAGATGCCCGGCCTAGTTCGGGGAATGAGCACCACTAATGCTGTCAGAGCATCCTGGCTGGGAGACTGTGGAACATATTTTGATTTTAGGATCTTAATTTATGATATTATGTCATATTGTTAACTGCATCAAGTAAACTGGTTATACTTTTTTAACCACATTGAATATCTTTTTTTTTAATGATTTGTAAAACATGCATCTATTCTCGTGACTTGTCAGTTTTATTTTCCCTAAATATTTACAAAATTTCAGTTCCGTTCAGAGACTCCTCTCTGACTATGATCTTGAAGAACGCTCTGGGTGGAAACTCTAAAACTGTCATGATAGCTGCGCTGAGTCCCGCATCAGTCAACTACGAGGAGACGCTGTCGACTCTCAGATTCGGTAAACATTTTTTATTCTAATAGAAAAACTCAGATTAGCATAAAACGTCTGAATTTGAAACATCATTAAGATTACAATATGCCAGCAAAAACATTCAGATTGTTCGTGATATATTCCGTGATATACACTCACAGCACATAAATGCCTTTTCTGGATCAAAAAAATAAGGCTCATACAAATTTTATTAGTTGAACCTGTTGTTTACCTAAATGCCAGGATTTCGCATTCTAAAATTATCTCTTAACTCGGAGAACAAATTCAGTCGAAGCCTCCATATTCTCCCAATAAACAATTTGCAAAATAAGAAACATAAAAAGCTGTGACCTTATAGATGAACTATAGTCAATACATCGTGACGCGGAGATCATATATTTATATACTAAACACTATATTACATCTGGGTCTTAAAATAGGCGATTAGACTAAACATAGAGAAGCACTCGCATCGAGATTTGTCCATACAAAAAATCTTCTTCACAACGTCCTTTAAATACTGAAACATCTGCTGGTTTCTGGAAAAGTATACCAGCGGGTTGATTGCGGAGTTGAGAGGTATACCCTGCATGCACAGTTCATACACCATTCTACTCATACAACCGTTACCTGGATCACATCCCGCCACTTGGAGGGATAACATCACTACAAACATGATGTTAAACACAAGGAAAAGTCCTGAAAGGATCATCACAGTCTTGGTGGCTTCCCTCTTCGTTGATGTGATCCTGTGCCAGCCCAGATCCTGTCGGTTTGTTTTTGATAGTTTTATAATAGAGGCTATAGTGGCCACGGTCACACAAAGGACCATGGTGGTGACACTGATGAGCCCTAAAGCGTCGTACATTTCCGCTACTTGAGTAAAAGCAGGGTGGTTATCCGAGTGGTAGACGTAGAGATACAGCCCTCCCCTCCCCACCAAGTAGGTAAAGTACCCGACCAACATGCCGCAGATGGTGCGCTTCTTGATCATGTAGAACGGGAACCACACACTGATTGTCCTGGTGATGGTCAGCGTGCACGTGACAAACGCTGTTCCTTCCAGCAGCACGCAGTACAGGAAGTTGAATACGGAGAAGGAGATGACCAGGAAGCGGTTGTTGGAGGCGTAGAGGGCGCCGGTTGTGAGGACCAGGGTCGAGGAGAAGCAGAACACCAGGTCCAGGCTGTTGAGCAGCATCAGGAGTCTGCTTCCTGTCTGACGGGGGTTTTAGAGTTCAGTTTTGGAAGCGTTGATTTATTGAAATATAATACTTTATCTGGATACTACTGGTATCCTAATTTCGTACATGCATTATGTAGTACAATTAATTACACACCAACAGATGATAAAGTTTAACTTAACACTTAAGTCCTATATAATATATTTTATGGTATTAATGATAATGTAGAAATAAAAAACTCGTGTTGTACCTTAGTAGTGCCGTGTTTGATAAAGAAGGTTAGGGAGAAAGTATTAGAGAGTGTCCCAAACGCCGTGAGAGTGGTCAGCACCCACGTCAACATCCCTCTGGATAGTGTTAGAGTACAGGAGAGTTTTGTGTGGATCGTTCTAGAATGTAGAGTAGAGGAGGGTTCTGTCTCCAGTTGTTATCCGGACATGCCTAAAACAGGGGAAAATAAGTGTTTCCTATTTTAGATTGATTTCAAACTTTTGTACGCATTCACTGACAATCCTGGTAGCTTGAAATTGGTAGCTAAGTAACCTGGTAACTACTAAGAACTAAAATGGTTGCAAGACGCAAGTATTGAGATGGTTATTGGTTACATAGGCCTTAGTAACCAGGTGACGAGACGTCGAGACATGATACATCAACCGATCAAACCCGAATCACAGCGACATAATATTAAATAACGTAATGTTGTAGATTACATCGAGTTCATTTAACTGGCTAACCATGCCTTTGAACAGAGGCATCCTGAATTACGTTTATAAGCGTAATTATAAACGTAATTATAAACGTAATTATAAACGTAATTATAAACGTTATTATAAACGTAATTATAAACGTAATTATAAACGTAATTATAAACGTAATTACTAATTATAAACGTAAGTATAAACGTAAGTACAAACGTAAGTATACATACTATATAAATAATTCTTCTAGTTCTAGAACTTTCTGTAATTATCAAACTTTTCCCTATTACAAGAAAACAGCAAATCTATGATAATATGCCAATCACCCTAACTTGGGTTTATATGAATTTTCCTAGAGATTTCAGTAATCGTTTAACCTAGTAACCTAGAAATCCGAGTAACCTGATAACTTTGCAGCGGACCGTGCGAAGCAGATCAAAACAAAAGCAACAGTTAACGAGAGTCCTACAGATAAACTCATCCGGGAGCTCAAAGAAGAGAACGATAAACTCAAGCAGATGTTGGAGGGTAAGAACCTTACTATGACCTTATTACTGCGCTTAGGGTGGCGGTATTAGGGGTCACAATATTGAGTATTAGAACTTATCAGGATAGTGGGAGCATAGATTAATTTGTTGTGCAGAATATTAGAGTATTAGATATTAGCGAGCCGCAATAGTAAGAGATCCTAATTACTAATATCGACCACACGACGCCTTACTGCTTATTTGGTTTGTGGTTTGGCAATCCAGATCAGATCTCTGGGTATTATAACACATTATATTTTAGTATTTTAATACCTTGGCACTCGATAGCCAAAGTATTATAATATTATAGTATTGGCTAGACGTGCTTCTAGTATAATTTAATAGACATATTTTTTTGAACTCTAAACGGCGAGTCGATATTATTAAAATAGAATCTTGAAACTGTTTTGCCAAAAACAGCTAACTTGAGTCTTGATCAACCAACCATGACGAATTAAATATTTAATATTTTAAATGTGATGAATTAAATATTCAAGAAGTCCAGCATTATGATCATAATCATTACATAATTTTATAATCATTTGATTGTCCTGCTAGTATGAATATATGGGTCAAACATCCGGATCCCGATGACACTGTCGCGGCACTATAATGGCGGCACACTGCCACTATAGAGTGCCGCGACAGTGTCATCGGGATCCGGATGTATGACCAATATATTACGTGCTTTAGTGTTGTGCTTGTAAATTTTATTGAAATATTTACCATTATCAACAGGTGGTGTTATTGATAAGAGCATGGTGAAGGATGACGATGAGGAAGATATTTCAGACGAGGAAGTTCAGGCCAGGTTACAGGCTCTAATGGACGAGAGTAACGCAGAGAAGGCCAGCATGGAACAGGTTTATCTTCACATTTTGTTGTTTTGTTTTGTATTGTCCAGGAAGCACACTTCCAGATTAAATGGGCCGTGTAATCGGGCTACATAAAACCTCAATTTATAATTATCTTTGAGAAAGAAGAACAAAGTATAAAATTAAAAATTAAATAACACGGGGCTGAGTACATCAGGAAAATGGAGAGGAAATCACTGTAATAAAATTAGTAAACAGCTAAGAACTTAAAACGTGATGCCATGTCTCAAGATATTTAAACATAATCAGAGGTCTAATGTAGTATAGTGATGTACTGCTTAATACTTTGATAGTAAGTAAACTGTGGGGAGTAAAATAATTCACGCTTAAGAAAATCAATGAAATAGCTAAGAATTATAAACGAGATGTGGCAAAATAAGAATATAATTATAGGGTCTACCTAAGTGTCTACCACAGCCTACTATGACAAAATATTCTAGAAAATCTCTAATAAGAAAAGCTCCAACACCAGCTATCTCAGCCCAGGTACTCAGGTAATAAAACTTGTGAATTAAGTTACACCTCGACAGTAGACACTCTACTGGTCGGCAAAGGTCGTCGTCAACGGTCAATATGTGCATGATATTTGTCTTGAAACGTGACAGTGGTTCTGGATTTTTATTAGTTGACACGGCAAAAACTCATTAGTTAATCGCTGTCATGACAACATATCCTTTACCTCTCCTTTTCAGTTCTCAAGATCGTGTTAATGATATTGATGTTATAGTGTCACTAATGAAGAAGGTGGTAAATATTGTACACGTTCACTGTTGTTAGTACACGTGCGCTGTTGTTAGTACACGTGCACTGTTGTTAGTACACGCGCACTGTTGTTATTACTTATTGAAACATACAACATCACCCTGCAAGAACTAATAACAGGATATAATCTGTGATGGTTCGCTAGATTAGCTCCGGTAGAAACACACGTGCAGCGAAATGGCTTTCTGAACTCTGACAAATTAAAAGAATTAGGGCCTTTACCCAGCGGCTAAGTAATCACATACCAGTGACAAGTGACAACATTTAATTTAAAACGTGACAAAATGAGCAATCAAATTTTACCTTACATTATTTCTATAATCAAATTACGTAGGTCATAGATTTTGTTTCTTGTGGAGAGGTGAACCATACCTACTGTTTGTTTGACGAATGCAGCGATATAAATCAATCAGCTTCCAGTATTGAGTATCGACCAATCAACAGCCAGAATAGCTGCCACGTGTCAGAACAAATAAAGTTCACCTCCCAGATTGAAATATTTATTAAAGGTAATCTTTAGTGGCCCGCTTCAGTGATGTTATAAAATATATAAACAGTTCAACAGTAACATCAACAAAGGATAATAAGTTTGTGTATTAAATTAAAACTGGCCTGTTACTCCAGCGCCTGAATTACAGTCCGAACTTTATGGAATGGGTTGGAATTATAGTGGTCATACATCCGGATCCCGATGGCACTGTCGCGGCACTCTCGTGGTACTATGGCGGTACTATGGCGGCACTATGGTGGCAATACCAACTTTCAATCATGTTCGTTCAAAAGCATAAGACAATCATTATACTTTCTTTATTATCTTTTCACAATAACCACGGTGTCATAAAAAGCATTACCCCTTTCTTTACTTTGGCAGCCAAATTCGGGGAACTGCATGCAGTTAGCTTCTGCTGAAATCATTCTATGATCTCGAAACTCCTCGTAGCTGGCGTACTTGAAAAATCTTGAGGTGTGAACCATCACTGATGCCCTTTCCTTATGGAGCTCGTCTTATATTAGGACGCAATGAAACTACCGGACCACGATGTATGGGGACTTGCCAACCCATGATAACATTAAAATATATCGATTCTGTTACATCGTTTCCTGTTAATATAAAACTCCGTTACAAAATGAACTGGGATCTGGCAATACTACACCTTATATACCATCTTCTGTGACATGATTGCAAGGTAGCATTCACATGACACACCTCACGTCAAGTTAATACCTACGTCATTCCAATCCGATCCAGATTATAAAACTACTGAACATTGCACGTGGGACTTGTTATTACGATGTGATACTTATCCTGCAGGCTGCAAGAATGTTATCGCAACGCCCATAACCTAATTAGGTACATCTGACACGTCACCACTCATCAGATCAATAAATCACATGGCTTCGACTAGGCTAGTAAATATAGGGCAATGCTTTTATGACACCGTGGTTATTGTGAAAAGATAATAAAGAAAGTATAATGATTGTCTTATGCTTTTGAACGAACATGATTGAAAGTTGACACTGTGCCGCCATAGTGCCACGAGAGTGCCGCGACAGTGCCATCGGGATCCGGATATATGACCATTTTGGTATTGTAAAGATTGTGAATGTTTGATCACAGTGTGGAATAGTGAGTACCTGAGCTTGTGTGGTTAAACCTCAGGATAATAACACCTTAATGAATAATAACCCTATCCAGTAAGACTCAGTCAGATCCAGTAAGATGGGACTTGAGAGTAAACTCGATAAGAGGCAAAGTCAGGAAGAAGATCGCACTTTTATAAAGAATAAACAAAATAATCATGAATGATAACTTTGATAAAACTATAGTTGATACTTCCCACTGCAAATAACCTGTGGTGTGACCCGCTGCTTTCTCCAAAGATACTGGAGGTGAACAAGGTGCACTGGTGAGGGTTCTTAGAGAAGCTGTTTTTATGGCAAATCACTAAGTACTTAACCATAGGGTATAGCGTGACGTGGCGTCAGAATATCTGAATTCATGAAAATGAAATAAACTAAACCACTTCAACTAGGGTCGTTGCTTGGGGGGTTGGTGGTATTATCTGAAATATTAAGCTACCAATTTCATAACCATGCAGCTCGGCTTAACTATGCATGATCACCCACTACGAGCACCCACTAACGTTAAATCTTTTAAACTCTGTATTTTATATCAAGAGATTGGAGCCGGCAAGAATAAACGATGTTAAGTTATTTCAAAATATTTACTCTGATAAGTAACCCGTCAGATGTCAGCACATAGATTGGATGCGGTTTTGGGAATCACTGAATACTTAACCATTATATTAGGTATAGTTTTATAGCATTAAGTAGTTACGTGGCGTCGTTACTCGGTAGTCGCTGATGGTATCATATCTGTAATTATCATGATTAACTAGCAAACCCGCTTTTTATAAACGCGAGCTCTGAAATACAATTATACAACATGAACAGTAATATCTTGGTAAGATAGTTAAGATAATCCAATCATCACTACAGGCAAAACCGGAAACATTACTATTATCACTGAGTAGGACTGATAAACAAAACTAAGCTTTATCAGATCTCGTTTAATTACAATCTGCTAAACTAGGGGAGGTCTGCGCCACTTGTCCGAGCAAGAGTTTCTGTGATGATGTTCTGAGTTGAGTCTAAGGGATCTTCTAGTAGCGCTAATGTTTTTATCCTAGCCTTTTCTGACCAAAAGAGTCTGTTTCACATGAAGGAGGCCCATTGTTATAATGGGGAGTTGAAAGGTAGAGACCTGACTCAGGGTACCAAAGAAGAGCTTAAGGGGGCAGGGAGGGGGGTCTTTATATTATAAAGACCCCCCCCTGCCCCCTTAGCAGGATAACTTAGGAAGAAGTTCGAAGTGTATTATTTATCTCCGAGAGATGTAGTTGCTCTTGAAAGTATCAGATTCATTATATATTCATTATATATTATAAGATTATAATATTATTCAATGCTTTTATCAAATGAACTGCAACTGGAATTATAATGATTCCCGATAAAATATTAATAGACACCACTTAGTGAACCCTTTAAATTGATAAAACTATCATTTATTTACTTCAAGATATTAACTCTGATGCGGTTTTGGGAATCTCAGAAAGCTCTGTAGTTATTTAAACAGTTGTTGTCAACTGTGACGCTCAGAATGTTAAAATCATTGAACAGGGTATTTAATCGTGAATATTAATATTCATATAGCCATAATATGGTTATATTTATATATTTATAAATATTATGATACCATTCCTAACCTAAACGAGTGAATAAGATATCGTAAACTAAAATTATTCTTGCTTGCTCCAATCTCCTAACATCATATGTAATACTAAAGTTGAAACATTTGACGTTTACATCTTCGGCGTGGTTAGGAAATTAGTGCGAAGTTTCTGAGTTGCTGCATCGCTTATTATAGGGGAAGTGATTTCTGATATTTAAAGCTCAGTTTTACCCAGCACGCTGTTAACTGTGAAAGATGACATTTTAGACTTGAGGTTAAACATTACCGGGGGTTAGACTGTTAAAGTCGTGCGTTCCTGAATCACAAACTATGTTAAAACCCCTAAGGCAAGGGATATAACGATTTATGTTAGGAAGGGATATAAGAGGTTATGTTAACCTGTATAGTCAGTCTGAAAAGCGACGCGTCCCACGTGCAATGTTCAGTAGTTTTATAATCTGGATTGGAATGACGTAGGTATTAACTTACTACAATAGTATAATAATGATACCGTGGTGCTAAAGAACGGAGCAATTGGTGGAGTTCTAATGAGCTGTGGCGGAGAGACGGTATGATCATCTGCTCGTGTTCACTCAATAACCATCACCAAGTAACTAACAGTTTACAGTTAACAGTTCGACCAGATCGACCTGTCAATAAATCTGGGGTATATGTTTATATGGTTAAAAGGTGTCTCTACCATCGGTAAATAGGTTGGAGTTATACTACCTGTTCACCCTGTAAAAAGATGGATTCATCATTCCAATAATGATTATTAGTCAACTTAGATCTCCTGCACGGTACTTGAATGCTACATCACGTATGAAGGATAATTATTAGATTAAGGCTTGATATGGATCAAGATAATTATTATATATAATTAAGTCATTTCCAAGACAAAAGCCCATTGTTTTTCATGAAAATCACGTGCTAGTTATAGCGTTAGCTTAGACTCAAAGTATAATCAGAAAAGTTTAAGACAAAAGGATGCAAAGGTATTAATTTATCAATATGACGTCATTGTTTGGAGTCATCTAGCAGCCTCCGATCTCCTAGTCATCAAGGTATGGATATGCTGCTGCTGGCAGCAGGAATTCAGATGAGTACTTTAGAAAAGATTTTCTGCCATTATATATCCAGGGATTTTGAGATTTATCAGGCTCGCCCTTAATGCATGGTCAACAAGTGGTTATTAACCACTTGAAGTGGTAGTAACACCAAGGATGTGATATGCTGGTTTAGTGTGAACTGTAAGTGGTTCGGAAAGTCCCACCCTAGAAAATCGTGCCCGATGACTCTAAACGACGGGTCCCAAAATGGTAATTTATAATCATAACCATGAAAATAGTCTCAATATTTATAGCACGCAGTTATATATATTTTATCAAATTAAAATTGTTAATACCAACATGTCGAAAACTTAGATCATTTCTTGAAAAAGAGAACAATTTCATTAGATTCCTCCCTAGTCTCCTAGTAAACGTATTGCCCAATTCAATAACCAATGATAAAGTCAGTTGAGCAGTCATTAAATCCTCATATCTATGGTCAAATCTTCACCTTTCCCTTAAAACTTATTAATATAATATTTTGACTTTTAAGTGATGTCTGTATGCTTAAATCGGCTTTAAATAGATAACACCTTTTCCTTTGAATATGGTCTTGAGAAGATTCTATATGAGCTCAAAAATATTAAATGAGCAAAAGCATAAGATAAGAATGTGTCTAGATTCCGACCTTTCTCTTTCCGTCACACTTGTGTTTAAACTATGATGCATTTAAAGTATTAAACGTCTTAGACAACAAGTATAAATACTTAACGTTGCCATTCCTCATTACTTCACAACAATATTTACATTTAGACTAACTGAACAAATTGCAACTTCTCCAAATGACAACAAATTCATTTCAGGAATGGAAGGACAAACTGGAAGAAGCCCAGAAAGCCATTGAAGCTCTAAAAGAGGAACAGTCCCGAAAGCAAGAAATGATGAAGACCATCCCTCACATCACCAATCTGAACGGGGATGAGCAGCTATGTGGGATGATCGTCTACTTCTTCGGTGAGAAAATGTTAATCAGAACTCTCAATACCTATTCATTAGAATGATATTACAGTTTTACTTTGAGTGCGGTGCTAGACTTGAATAGTCAAATTGTGACAAATTTGTATTCAGCTAATTTCGTGGTGATCATAGTAAGGATTGATAATATTAATTTGATGGTTGGACAAACTGATCATGGGTGAGAATAAGCGCGGGAATATCTTGTTCATTCAAACATACTGTACTTGTGGTAGCTATCATATTGGGATTCGGGATATATGCGCGTGTCTTATAGACCCACAGGCATTGTGTATCATGAAAATCTAGAGTCACTCGGTCTTAATGCCCACAAAAGGATAGCATCTAACACTTTCCCAGCCCATAGAATTGGCACATGTGTTATTGACAAGGGTTAAGGCCAGAACGAGGGGTATATATTTTTAATAAAAAAAGTTTGTATAGTATCGGTTGGACGGTAATTATAAAGATAGGTTGGCTCCCCGCTCCAACGCTAGTTAGCGACAAAATCATTAAAATCGCAAGATATAAATACAGAATCATTAGTTGTACACACTTGGGCGGGTTTCTAACTTTGCACCACGATAAACGTGTGTCAGCGCACCTCTCTCTAAGAACAAAGCGTGCAAACGTCACTCTGAACTAATACGAGCTCTGTTTACCAATGGTCCAACGACCTATAGAAGAATCGTTTTGATTATTGCTTTGTTGGCCGGCCCCCAATATGATAAATTGACCTGAAATACCTAGTGGTGGTGAGTCGTCAAATATTAGACTGAAGCCATTGCTTTCATCAGTTTAATGTTTATATTGTCACTTCATATTCACACAGTTCGACGCGCAGTTCATGCATAGCCAATTACTATCCGCTGTTCAAAGTTCAGACATTCAGAACTGATAGAATCTAGATGGCAAGAGAGTTAATCATTATTTCCCTTTCAGAGGATGGAAAGGAGAACAAGGTGGGCACAAAAGATTCAGACCCTCCTAACGATATCGTGTTATCAGGTCTTGAGATCGAATCTTCTCACTGTCTTATCACTCACTCAGCAGGTATATTTTATTTAATTATACTAATTAATAATACTCTAATACATAAGCGATAATCTGCGAGCAATCTTAGCGGCAATGATGACAAAATATTTACCTTCCTCGCCATTTAAACAATTTCACCATGACAAAAATAGCGAGAATGAAATAAAAATTCCGCCACTTGCACTTGTTCCTGTGCTCGTTATTTGGCACGTTGCCATTTATTTACATAGTTAAGAGTTTCATCGCGGTTCATTCCAATATCCCGTAGCTAAACTACTGATGGTAGTGGCTGATGAGGCTAGAGTCTATGTTAACGGAGAATATGTTTCTGGTAAACTGGAACTGATGCATGGTGACAGGTAAATATTATTAGTTGTTATTTAATATTTATATTACTTTTAATTGTTCATAAATTCAGAGGAACGATTAGAAATCCTGGTCAAAGTATAACTTTAGTGCGTAAAACTGATATTAGGGGTAGTTCTCAATTATATCGTGATCACTGAGGATCGGAGGGAGGTGGTTTCCAAATTGTTAGTGTAATTAAAAATTAATTAATGTGTAAAACTGATTCTGGAGGGTTGGAATTCATGGTCAAAAAGTTTTGCGACAGATTCGATTCACAATATTATGATGATATACAATATGATGCAGTCGCAATATATAGTTTGTTAACCTATAAATATAGAGTTTAACGTATTTTAGTCAAAACTTTAAAACGTTATAAAAAATAAAATATGAATTTCGATGTAACTTTTAAATGTCTATGACTATAGTGCGCTGATTTTGAATTGGCAGCTGTTTATAAATTGTAAATGTTTTTTAAAGTAAAGCCAATCAAAATACACATACAAATCAACCCAATCACTATTCACTACCGGACCACTTTTAATCGATTCTAGTAGAATTTATACGGTCAAAAATACTTTTAGCAATATACTGTGTTCGAAGTTCCTAGTACTCTAGTATATAAGCGTTTCGAGTGAAAATCAGCGAGGCCCTCTATAATCATTATTCAAGATCTCTGAGTAATAAGGAAATATAAGATCAATATTGCGCAACTTACTATTATATCGATACTATAGTTTAGTATAACAATACTATGATTACAATAATCCATAATCCAATCTTTATAATGAGCAAGAACCTCAGAACCTGACCTTGAATAGTATTATTTTTGTTTTAATCAGTTGATTTAAATTTAGCGGCCTAGTGGTCGCGGAGCACGTAATCGTATGATTTGTTGCAATAAAATATGCACTCGCCACTCGGCGCCCAAATACTGGTCCTGTTTATTTATTTATCACATAAATCAAGTCCATATTTTGGGATTCATATCTTTTCCGTCTGATAATACTATTTAAAGCAGACTGCGGGACCGTACCTAATGCACTTAGAAAATTGTCGTTTTTATCGACCTTGTCTCAGATGGAGCAATATTATTTCATCAAGCTTATAACAAGTTTATAACAAGTTTATATCTTTATGTAATTATATTGTCACACCACAATACGAGTCCAATAGTGAGTTTATCCCCTTATTATGGCTCATGCTAGGTTTCTGGACACCAGATCAAGTCTTATATAATATAATATCACCAAGAACAAATATAACATGAGCTATGAAACCACAACCTATGCCATCTTACTATATATAAAGCGAGACGATATATATGGATGGATGGATGTGTTTACTGTTTATCCGTACCATTTTACTAACACCACGGCATCAACTTTAACGTGACTTTCCGCAAAAACCGTAAAAGAGATACAACTGAGACTTTTTTGACTGGGTCAAATGCCTTAATGGCCTTCAAATCAGCATGAAAAAATAAAAAATTGGCCAAGAGGTAGGAGTTTTAGAGCCCAAAATTTGGTACCCCAAGTGGTGTCAAAAACGCGAATTAAATAGGTAATAATTATTTTGGTCTCTTGAGTCTTGCCACCACTTTAGGGTTAGACGGGTTCCTGCTAGTTATCACAAATATTTACCAAGGCTGTCAAATTCGCCAAATTTTCGTCAAAAAATACGGCGCATTTAGAGTTCTCAAAAATACGCGAATAATTCGCCAATTTACTACTTAACTTAAAGTTTTAATTTTAGGGCTGTTAAATTTGCCAAGAAATGCGCGGAAAATTCGGTAAAAATGCGGCTGTGGGAACGCGCAGCATTCTCGAGTCTGATCTCTATCTCTCAATTAGCCGTGCAGTAATTTTAAAGTTTCCCTGCCACGTGTTGAATATCGTGATTTATTGTTCCCGTATTTTTTTAAATGCGGCAATTTTCAGAAAAAAATCGTATGCGAATTTATTCGAATAATACGTTGCGAATTTCACAGCATTGATATTTACATGACACTTTACAGGCTACTACTGGGAGCAAATAACCTGTTCACGGTGGTGAACCCTGCAGAGAGGGAGGCTGCAGAGAAAGCGGGGATTGAGTACTTTAAGTTCACCTACCATGATGCCATGTCAGAGATTCAGAACCTTGGTAGTGGGGACGATGCTCAGAAAGGTACTGCTTATTCTAAAATCAATAATTATAGTTACTATATACTATTACTAAAGTTCTAAATAACAGATACTGTAAACACCATGCTGATATCTAATCTTTCCCTAAAAAACAGAATTATAAGGCTAGTATTCTGCGCCAAAAATTAATAATTAGTTAATTAAAATAAAACTAAAGCTTATCCCGGATTATTGATGGTTTCGTAGGG